GCAAATTTCCTCCCACGAGAATATTCGCCTAAGATTCCTTCATCTTCTCCGCTTCTCTTTCTCCCTGCAAAATAAATCGGAGTAAAAGGACCACACCCGGGGGGTGTTGGCCAAAGGCCCTCCGATGCCTAAGTTAGGTTGGGTGTTTCAAGGAAAACTGGGTGGTCGGAGCCTTGTGTGAGAGATGTTGGCTGCGCAAATCTCACGGCCTGGAGCTTCGGGCAGAGGGGATATGCGTTAACACGTGGCTTCCGTCGAGATGGTGATATGGGTGAAGTGGTTAAGTGGTGCGCCTGTTTGAGTCCGACTCCTAATCAAACGATTGTGGCCGAGAGAGGAACTGATCTCGGCCTTCAGGTTCACGGCCTGAGCTACAAGGCCGTTTAGTGGTGGTGTTGAAATCAAATAACCTCCTAATTAATTCAGATAATTCCCAATTAGGCTAGGTAACTTCGAATTAGGTCAAATAATTCCCAAATTGATTGGCCTAATTATTTGACCTAGAATGAGATATTTTGCTTCCACAAATGCCCCCCCAGCTTCTGCATGGCGCGTGGCGGCATGGAGGAGGTGTGAATTAGATGTTGGGCTGTTCAGCTGTAATTGGGTTTCCTTCTGTGACTTGGGCTCCTGAGTGGAGGAGGTTTTTGACTTGCCAATTGGACTTTGACTTGGGCAATCTAGTTGTAACTGGGCTAGAGGTGCGCTAGTTTGCTGCTAGAGCGGGTGGCAGTTCGGGCCAACTTAGTTACTGGGGTGGGTCCAAACTGCTTCAATTTTTTGTGCCATGAACTAGGGATAGTCTGAGTCAAGGCGATCATGCGTGGCATACGGATGTGCTGGAAGTCATCGGCGGATGGGAATGGGAGGTCAGCGACAGTCCGCTCATTCCTCTCACCTACTGTGATGGTAAGTTGCATCCACTTGATTTGCTACGATTTCCTTGGGATTCTTTGTTGTGTGTTTGAATGACTTTCGTCCTCTACTTGCAGGGAATGCCATCCGCAAGAAGCTCGTTCTCGACCCGAACATGACCAAGGTTCAGCAAGCTTTGAACATCCCTGCTCAGTTTCGTGAATGGCGTTGGTTGCTGAGCGAACACCGGAAGGAGGTCGGCGGTCTGCCCCCTGTGGAGGATATTGAAAGATGGAAGCTGCATAGCTCTGACTTAGGTGATCTGCCAGTCGAGCAGGAAGAGTCCTCGACCGAGTTTTCGGAGGAGAGGAAGGGTAGCAGCAGATCTGCCCGCAATGAAGCTGCAATCTCACGATCAAGGGACACGTCTCCACAACGAAAGCAGCCGAGACTTTCTTCTGCCACGAGCAAGTCTTCCTCAAGGGGGGTCTCCCCTGCTGAGAAGGTCTATGTGGGAGTTGTTCATACTTCGTCTGCTGGGACCAAATGCCTTGTCAGCTCAAACAGCAAAACAGTCAGTGGCATGCAGGAGGTTCGGGATATTATGTTCAAGTTTCCGCCCGTGCTACCCAAAACTCGTGATTTGCCTTGTAAGCAGGCTGCTGAGAAGCAAGGTTTGGGGCGTCTGCGCCGATCCGGAGATCAAACTGAGAGGACTGTACCTCTGCCTAGAAACCATGACTCGTCTGCAATGCCACGAATAGTCAAGTGCGGAGCTGACTCGATGTTGCAAGTTGCAGCCAAGAGTGCTAAAGAGTCGTCTGCTTGAGCAAAGAGTCCTTCAGCTGTGCGAACTGCTGGTCCGAAAATTGGTGGTAACCCTGCTAGGGGTGAGTCCGTGCCTGATCTGCTTAAAACGGGCTTCCTGTCAAGTCCAACTGCCTGTGCGAAGCTGGTCGATCACGTGTATCGAGCTGGTGACCTTAGTGCTTTCTCGAGCCTTTCCTTGGATAAGCAAGAAGAAGCTGCCATGTATCATCTTCAAAAAGGGATGATTTTTAGTGTTGGGGCCATGCGGAACTCACGTGCTGTTGCCCCCTCTTCTGTCCTGCTTGACGAGCTGGGGAAGAAGAATGCTGATCTGACTGACAAGCTCTCGAACGAGCGGATTCGCCATGATGCGAGGATTTCCGAGATGAACGAGAGTATGTCTGCGCTTAAGAGTTCTGTTGGCCAGAAGGATGGTGAGCTTGAGTCTCTTATGGCTACCCTGCTCGAACACAAGGAAGCCTACTTTCATCTCGAACGTAAACATGCTGCTCTGGTCCAGGATCGCGACAAGCTGCTGGCCAAGTTTAACACCCATGTGGAAGCCACGGAGGCATCCAAGCATGAGATTGCTGCGAACGCATACAAGTTGGGATATTTGGATTGCCAGAATGGTGTTTCTCCATCCTGTCCTCTTGAAGGTGATGATGGTGAGCCACTCTGTTTTGTCCTACCCTCCGCTCAAGGTGAGCAGACTAATGCTATGGACGTAGAAGCGGTTGAAGAGCAGGTAGCAAATGAAGCTGGAATGGGGGAAGACAATGCCCATCGTGGTACAGCTGACGAGTTTGGGGCAGATGCGGAGGAGCAAGCAGCTGAGGCTGCTGAGCAGATGGTGTCGGTTGAGCAGAGTGATGCTGAGGCAGCTGAGGACATGACCGGCTGAGGGTCGTCTGCCGAAGTCCCCTAGTAGATGTAGTTCATTTTTGCTATTTTTTGAACTTTGTAATTTTATTTCAGTAAGTGGCCTTTAGTTGACCACCTTATTTCTTGTTGAACTTGGCCGGTTGGCCGCTTTGCTATGGAATTTTCAGTTATCTTTCAAACTTCAATTCTCATTGTATCTTGTAAGTGTACGTCCGGAGACATAACGCTTGAAAGAGACTCCATTGAGTTTGTACTCGGGAAGTAGCTTGCCTGCAATGGAGGTGAGGCTTGTCGTCTGCTAGCGTATGTCGAGGACATAGCGCTCGAAAAAGACTCCATAAAGTTTGTACTCGAGAAGTAGCTTGCCTTTAGTGGAGGTGAGGCTTGTTGCCTGTGCGCGTATGTCGGGGACATAGCATTTGAAAAAGGCTCCATTGAGTTTGTACTCGAGAAGCAGCTTGCCTGCAATGGAGGTGAGGCTTGTCGCCTGCTAGCGTATGTCGGGGACATAGTGCTCGAAAAAGACTCCATGAAGTTTGTACTCGAGAAGTAGCTTGCCTTCAATGGAGGTAAGGCTTGTCACCTGCGGGCGTATGTCAGGGACATAGCGCACGAAAAAGGCTCCATGAAGTTTGTACTCGAGAAGTAGCTTGCCTTCAATGGAGGTAAGGCTTGTCGCCTGCGGGCGTATGTCGGGGACATGACGCTTGAAAAGGCTCCATTGAGTTTGTGCTTGAGAAGCAGCCTGTCTGCAATGGAGGTGAGGCTTTCCGCCTGCGTGGAGTCGAGCTGGTAAGCTGCAACTTGAACAATGGCCTTCTTGTTGTAGTAAGATGCCAGCTGCTACTGGAAAGTTGCAACTCGAACAATGGCCTTCTTGTTGTAGTAAGATGTGAGCTACTGCTGGAAAGCTGGTAAGCTGCCACTCGAACAATGGCCTTCTTGTTGTAGTAAGATGTGAGCTCCTGCTGGAAAGCTGCAACTCGAACAATGGCCTTCTTGTTGTAGTAAGATGTGAGCTATTGCTGGTAAGCTGGTAAGCTGCCACTCGAACAATGGCCTTCTCTTATTTTTCTTTGAGCAGATCAAGGTTGACTTTCATCTGCTTGCAGTTTGGTCAAGAATGCTTCGAGCAATGCCTCGTATTCTGCCTCGTTGTTTGAGGCTGGGAAGCCAAGCGTGATAGCTTGCTCCAACAGGGTTCCATCCAGGGTGATGATGATGACGCCTGCTCCAACTCCTTTTTGGTTTGACGCTCCGTCTACGCACGACTGCCACATGTCTTTGGGTTGGTCAGGTTCAGCGGAGGTCTTGTCTACTCTCGAACTTTCCTTCTTTTTGTTGACCAGCTTCTCTTCTTCGGCTGATGACGTGAATTCTGCGACAAAGTCTGCTAAAGCTTGGGCTTTTATTTCGATTTTTGGGCAGTAGAGGAGGTCGTATTGGCTTAGTCTATAGCCCACTTCATGAGTTTTTGAGACATTTCAGGGCTGTGGAGGATTGACCTCAACAGAAAGTCGGTAGTAGGCTCGAAGCTTTCTCGCGGAAACTACAAGGGCCAAAATAAGCTTCTCCAATTTCGGGTAGCGAGTCTCTGCATCGAGAAGGGCTTTTGACGTGTAAAATACCGGATGTTGGGCCCCAAGTTCCTCTCGGATGAGAGCTAAGCTGATGGCCGAGTTGGACACTGCCAAGTACACGAACAAGTCTTCACCAGGAACTGGCTTTGAGAGCAGGGGAGGTGAAGTTGTGCAATACTGGCTGAGTAGGCTGAATACCTCAGTGAGGTTCTTGATGTGATCTGCTCGCTTAGGGGCTTTGACCAGCATGTCGTCCACGTACACTTCCATGGTTTTGCCGTCCGCGAACATGTCTTTGTTGTTCTGGAGGAAGGTGGTCAGCTCCATCTTCTCATCTGGGCCTAGGCGCGAGCCGATCAGCGCTTTCTTGTCTGGCTGGTCAGGATCGAGGGGTACTAACTCAACGTCTTCCTCAGGGTTCCAACTTTCTTCAAGGGAGCCTTCCGGGCGGATTCCCTCGTGTTGATCCTTCTCGGTTGGGTTCTGGCGCAAGCCGGTCTGCGCTTCTTTGTCTGGCGGGCCAGGATCAGGGGGTACTAACTCAACGTCATCCTCAGGCTTCCAACCCTTTTCAGGGGAGTCTTTCGGGCGGATTCCCTCGCCTTGATCCTGGCTCCTTAATTGCTATTTTGAGGAAGCAACTCCCCTCCCGTTCGGGCTTGCTTGTCTGCTGGGAGTGTGTCCTGCCACGTCAGTAGCCTGCATTACTGGTGTGGACTGCAACTGCTTGCTCTTCTTGAGCCCTTGGGCTGTGCATCTCCTCGCCATGGCTTGGTCATTGTTGATCTGCCCGATCCCACCCCCAGGGAAGGGGTAGCGGATCTTCTGGTGTAAAGCCGATGTGATAGCTTCGATCTTGCTGATCCATGGTCAGCCCAAGATTCCGTTATAGGGGGAGATCTCGTCGATGACCATGAAGGTTTGCGAGCAGACCACCGGGTGTGAGTGGATGTCAAGGTCGATCGTTCCCACAGTAATTGATGTGGCCCCATTGAAGGCGATGAGCGACTTGGCAAGTTTGTTGATCTTGGGCTCCAATCCCATCTGTTGGATAACAGATAGTTGCAGGATGTTGGCTGCACTGCCCTCGTCCACATGAACTCGCTCGATCACAGCTTGTTCAATTTGGATGTAGATGACTAGGGCATCATTATGCGGTAGGTCAAGCCCGATCAAGTCCTTCTTTTGAAAGCCGATGACGGGTGTATCTTCAATGACTGGATTGCTAGTTATGACTTTGGAGATGCAAGTTGCCTGCGTGATTTTTCTCTTTCGCTCCATAGTGGTCAGCCCGAACTCTTTGGAATAAGCTAGAATGGTGTTGATGCGTATGACCTTTTGGGAAGGTTCCTTGGCAGCTGCATCACGATCCTCGATCTGCTGGATGGCCTTCTTCGCGACAAACTTCGTGCAATGACCTTCCCTGACCAACTCCTCGAGTTGCCTTTTCCAAGCATTGCAGTTGTTGGTGTAATGACCATGCTCCCCATGGAATGCGCAGTATTTACTAGTGTCCCTCCTAGTGGGGTCTCCCCTCAGAGGCGGCGGCCTCCTCACCCACGGCTTGTCATTCACTTGTGCTAGGATCTGGTGGATCGGGATGGTAAACTCGGTGTAGGTTCCTACTTCTGAGCCTCCCTCTTAGGATCGCGATATGCGCTTATCTCGAGCTTTGTTCTCGAACTTGTTGCTCTTTTGGCTCGCCTGCCTGGGCGGGTGGTCAGCCTGCTCGTTGGCTTTCTTTGCGGCGATACGGTTATCATCCCAGAGTGCGTAGCGCTTTGTCGTCACGAAGACTTCTGCCAAGGTTTGGCTCGGAGTTATGGCCAGCTCACGGTACAACTCGTGTTCGGTTGGCAAGCCCTTCTTGAAAGCTGAGGATGCAACTTGGTCATTGCATCCTATGATGTTCGCCTTCTCAGCCTTAAACCGTCTGAGGTAGTCTCGGAGAGACTCGTCTGGCTTCTTGCGCAGGTTGAACAGGTGGTCTGCATGCTTTCGAACTGTCTTGTAGGAGGTGTACTCCTTTGTGAAGATGAGGGCGAACTCCTTGAAGTTACCTATCGACGCGGACAGTAGAGTGTGGAGCCAGTCTTGAGCTGCTCCTCGTAAAGTCATCGCGAACACTTTGCACATCAGGGCGTCGTCTGCCTTGTACAGGATCATGGTGCTCTTGAAGTGCCTCAAATGGCTCTCAGGGTCAGAGTCTCCTTTGAACGGAGTAATGGATGGAATTGTGAACCGCTTTGGCGGCGGAGCTCGTTCCACTTCCTCGGTAAAGGGCGAGCAGTCGACTCGATCAATTTCCTTGCGCAGGGCCTCCTCTGTGCTTCCATTAAGTTGGAGACTTTGGAGTCGGTCATTCACTAACTTTTCGACATCCTCTGCTCGCAGGGCTGGTGGCTCGGGTCGACGTCTTCGATGCCTCGAGCGCCGCTGGTTAACTTCCTCCTCTGCCGCCAAGGGTCGATCCCCTTGGTTGCTCTGCCCGTGGGGCAGATTAGGAGATTGAGCTTGTGAGGATTCCTCTGTGGCTTGTCGCCGTGTGTTGGTCCTCGAGCGTCGATCATTGCGCTCGTTACGCGGTTGTACACGAACTCGAGCTCCTTGCCAACCCAGCCTAGGTTGAATACTTCCTTGTGGGCCCAAGCGGGCGTGGACATTGGACCGTGGGCCTAGCCTCTCGCGTACATTGGTCCTTGGACCTAACCTCGAACGGATCATCGACCTGCTCATGGTATGACTTGCAGATGTCCACGTCTCATCAGCACGATCTCGCGTCTCATCAGCGTCAGCTCGATCTCGCGTCTCGTCAGCACGATCTCGTGTCTCGTCAGCTCGATCTTGATCTTTTCCCTGCCAGTTATCCTTGCCCGACCAGCCTGGGATCTCTCGAACTGCTTGCTGGCATGCTCGTGCCTCCTCATCTCCTCGTTACGGGTTCCAAGGTTTGGGCCTTGGTTCAAGTTGATCTGCCTGAGTAGCTGGCCAATCATGTTGTTTTGATCATCGACTCTTTGTGCGAGCTGATCAACCCGTGAGTTAAGGTCTGCCTGACTGGACGTGTGCGTTGGGCCCAATGGCATATGGACTAGGGCTCTATTAGACGCGTACACAGGTGCATACGTCAAGTGTGGTGGCAGAGGAGGGAAAGGATGGATCTGCTCCAAGACTGGGGAGGCGTCAAAGTAACATGGGGCTGTGCAGCAAATCCGGCAGCTGGGTGGTGTGGCAGGGCAGGTCCGGCCGCTGGCACTTGCGGCTGCAAGGCTGTGGAGGTCACAGGACCATGCGGCGGCTGTTATGCAATTCCAACAGCTGTCTGCGGCGGCTGTTCTGCAATTCCGGCAGTTGTATCGACCATGGTTGATTGGAAAAAAGTGTGGAAAATGAATTTGGAGCACGCTTTGAGTATTATTTCACGCTCTCATTGAAAGCACCAATTTGTGGGAGCAAATTTCCTCCCACGAGAATATTCGCCTAAGATTCCTTCGTCTTCTCCGCTTCTCTTTCTCCCTGCAAAATAAATCGGAGTAAAAGGATCACACCCGGGGGGTGTTGGCCAAAGGCCCTCCGATGCCTAAATTAGGTTGGGTGTTTCAAGGAAAACCGGGTGGCCGGAGCCTTGTGTGAGAGAGAGAAAGAATAGGAAGGGAGAAGGGTTTATGAGAAATAATTTATGTAGAGTTTTGTTTGTGCTTGATAAATCACGGCCATGAGCTGGCCGAAGGACCCCTTTCTCTCGGCCCTGGCACTTGTTCGCAGAAGCTGAAACGCAGCGTTTCGCCAGGGTATTTCGCCTTCCTAAAAAATAAAAGAGGAAATGCTAAGGCATGATCATCTCGGCCTCAAGTGTAGGCCGAGGCCGAGGCTGAACAAAATTGCGGCCAAGGCATTAAAGGCAAATCATCACGTGACAGCAGGGTCCCAGGCTTCATTTAATGAAGTAGTGCCTGTTTAATGCAGCAAACCCATTGGCCACAAAGAAGCATTTAATGCATGAGGGAAGGTGGGAAGTGACTGAAGTCAGGATTTGGTGATGAAGATCAGAGTGATTAGACGTGGACATTCTCACAAGAATTCTGACAGCCTGAGATGTTGGTTCACCAACTATCCAGGCCATAAATGCGTCTCCACGGCCAAAGGCTCAGAACCCACGATCAAGGGCGGTGGCCGAGATTCACCGGAATTTCTGGGGTCTCACCACCATACTTCACGATCCCAAATGTCGATTGGACTGCCCACTTGCGCTAATCAGACTCCACTACGCACAGCTTGTGACTTGAACTCACAAAAATAGAAAATGAAGGATAATTTAGCTGAGTTTCTTCTATGGCTCCAACTTGAGAGCAGTTCACTGTTTGTTGGATGAGGATACGTATTTGTTTCTCTGTGTAGTTTAAACCACACAAGTAAGGAATGTAGTCCTCTGCTTGTATGTCGTAGATGAGGCCTGGGTCAATTGCTTTTGAAGGGTTAACATGACCTGCACCTATTGCAAAGATGTCTGCCGGCCTAAGCCATTCATCGACAATGGGCTTGCCAACGAGGTTTAGTACATCCGCAGTTGTCATGATTGCAGATTTAATTGCAGCTGGTGACCAGTCAGGGTGTGAGCTCTTAAGCAAGGCTGCAATGCCACTTAGGTGAGGACATGACATTGACGTACCCGAAATTATGTTAAATGTTGCCTTAGATGTGGCATTGTCCACAGAATAGGGCCATGCTGCTAGGATGTCAACACCAGGTCCAATGATATCAGGTTTTAGAATTCCAGGGCTTGCAATGTTTGGTCCTCTTGATGAAAAGATAGCGACCTTTGGAGCGAGTGGATCTGATCCGGAGCCTTTGGACAAGTTTGTGACTGTAGGTGTCGAGGTTAAGTTTAATATTCGGTCAGTGGTGCTTGCTCCAACAGTGAGAATCCATGGAGCCTCATTTGATAAAGAACCATATTCAGGACCATCATTTCCAGCTGAACAGCTGACAAAAATTCCCTTTCGCATTGCTCCAAATGCGCCAACGGCAATCAGATCAACATAGAGAGGAACTGAGGGACCGCCAAGTGAGAGGGAGAGCACGTCAACGCCATCATCAACAGCAGCATCCATTGCAGCCAAAACGTCAGCATCAGCGCAATCATAGGCGCCACAGACTTTGTAAATTGCTAAGTGAGCATAAGGGGCCATGCCAGATGCTGTTCCATTGGCCTGTCCAAACAAGCTTGCACCTTCCACAAAATTTCCTGCAGCTGTGCTAGACGTGTGGGTGCCATGGCCATCTTGGTCAAATGGAGCACTCCTTCTAGCTTTCCCTTTGCCTGCGTCTATGAAATTTTTTGCACCAATAAGCTTGTTATTGCAGATTGTTCCGTCACTACTACAAAAATTGAAATTTTTCTTTTTCAAACCGTCGTTAAATCGACAGTCGTCTTTTTGAAAGTCAAACTACTACGGTAATTAACCGTCGTCTATTATATGTAAAAACGACTGTTTTTAAAAGAACCATCGTCTATTACATGTAAAGACGACACTTTTTCTGAAAAAACCGTCGTCTATTGAATGTAAAGGCGACACTTTTTTTACAGAACCGTCGTCTATTAAATGTAAAGACGACACTTTTTTTGAAAAAAACAGTCGTCTATTTAATGTAAAGACGACACTTTTTCTGAAAAAACCGTCGTCTATTTAAATGTAAAGACGACACTTTTTCAGAAAAAACCGTCGTTTATTATATCCAAAGACGTCTATTAAATCTAAAAAAGACGGTTTTGTTCCAAAAAACCGCCATTTATTATCTGTAAAAATGATGTACTAATTTCATTTTAGATATCCTAAAAAATTATTTCTTTCATAAAACTTGAGGATTCAATTGTAATTACATTGTTTACCAATCTTGATTCCTACTATATCCATACAAAATACCATATTTATAACATTATAACCTATAATTACAAAATACCATATCCAAAGCATTAACCTATGGTTGTTGTATCTTCCACAATTTGTACTTGTTCTCCACATTCAGCTGTCATCTTGGAGTAGTGTTCTAACTCATCTTGGTCAAATGGATCTTATATTCTTCTAAGTTGTCATATTGGCCTTTGAGCTACACTTGATATAAGCTGCAGCACCTATTTGCCATGTCATCTTACCTGAGCAATCAAAAACCACAATAAGATTACATTATCTTGCTGTCAACTAACAAAAAATATGCATAAGCTTATGCAAGAAAAGTTCATTTGTAACACAATACAGAAGAACATTTTGACTAACTTAGAATTGCTTCTGTGACGTGGATGGCGAGAGCTCACCAAGAAGGCGTGATGGAGATCTGTCATCGAACCTCAGGCGACATCGAAGACCAGATCTGATGTTCTAGGTTTTTCCCATCTCGCAAGGTCTCTAGATCTGTTTTCAAGGTCATCTTAACTAACAAAAAATATGCATAATCTATACAAGCATAAGCTTATGCAGGAAAAGTTCATTTGTAACACAATACAAAAGAACATTTTGACTAACTTAGAGTTGCTT